GGGAGCCCGATGTGGGACTCGATCCCAGGACCCTGGGATCATGACCTGAGCCGAAGGCAGTCACTTAACCAACTGAGCCACCCAGGCGCCCTACTTTAGTTATATTTTTGTCAAATCCTTGGAGCTACATATTTGGTATTTTCAGCTTTAGAAAATGTTCTCCATATAACCTTGTTGGCCGGGTGAGTTCTCATTGTCAATTCTATCAACCAAATCAGACCGACTTTCTGACAGAAAAGTCTGACTTCATTTTAAGTCAAATAAACATGTTAACATGCATCTCTGTGACAACCATTTCTCTTCAGAATTTAGATTCTAAGAAAGAGATAATTCTTGGAGCTTTGCCTAGAGCCTATCACTTGGCCAAAATAAGATTCCACCACCTTTATTATCCTTTTTTTTTTTTTAAAGATTTTATTTATTTATTTGACAGAGAGAGAGAGAACAAGTAGGCAGATAGGCAGGCAGAGGGAGAGGGAGAAGCAGGCTCCCCGCTGAGCAGGGAGCCGGATGCGGGGTTTGATCCCAGGACCCTGGGATCATGACCTGAGCTGAAGGCAGCCGCTTAACCAGCTGAGCCACCCAGGCGCCCCTATTATCCTTTACTAGTGCCCCCTTTGCCTTGCTGTGAGGGGACCTTTCCTTAGTAGCAACACATTCTTTGACAGTAAGGGGCGAGGGGTGCTGATAAGTGGAACTGATGAAAATTGTTATCACTCCCTCCCCTACAACATACTTGCATTCAGAGTATCCAGGGGCTAGAATACTCTTATTTCTAAAGCCAAGCTTCACTGTTAAGTAAAAGCAATTCCTGTTGTAGGTGCCTTGACAAAAAAATGGCTTTCCCAAAACCCAAACTTTGAATTGTCCTTTGGGCACTTGGAGATTTTTATACTTTAGGGATTGCACCTTAGAAAGATTCAGGAGGGGTGAGAAGTAAGAGTTTTTTCTGTAAAGTAGAAGAAGGGAATATATCTTTTGGGGAGTGGGGAAGCAGATGTTGGGTAGGAAAGGGAAGCCAGCATGATGCATAGATCAATCAGAGGAACATTCTTCAAGTAGATCAGTTCTAGGAAAGAGTCATATAATGTTGAGACTTTATAAATTGGTTTTCTTAAAACCACACATGCTGTTTTGGTCCTTGCAACGTTTTGTGTACTTCTAGAGGTATGCATAATCCCATGTAAATACCGAGCTCAAGGACAGACTCCATCTGTGAATTGATCCATTTTGATCTTTTCAGACACTCACATAAAGGTAATGATTTATATCTGTAGTTTTATATTAAAAAATGTATACATATGTGTGATATTACAAATTTCTCTTGATGAATTGTCATCAGTTACTAAGTTAGTAGATTCTCTTCTCATCTTATTCATTTATTTATTTAAGGCAGAAAACAAACATATCTTCAGGACCAGCCAGCAGTATTCTTTTTTCGTTGTTTTTTTTTTTTTAAGATTTTATTTTTAAGTAATCTTTACATCCAACGTGGCGCTCAAACTCACAACCCTGAGATCAAGAGTTTCATGCTCTACCAACTGAGCCATACAGGTGCCCCTGGTCAGCAGTGTTTTTGGAATAATTTGTTTTCATGGTATTTTCTCTTCAACACTTAAGAATCAGGAGATTTAACATTTGAACCCAGATTTAACACTTTTTAGAAGTTGGAAAATATGGCAAAACTGGACCTGTAAGTCCACCTTGTAGTAATCAATTAGACCCAAGCTATGACTCTCTCCTTTAGACAGTGCACATGCTTTTAGTTTACACATCTATGTTTTCTGCTTGGTCTTTGTAGGCATCTACATTTACAACCTCTGATCTTGGGATTGACTATTCTCTTTTCTGCTTGATAACATATTGGAATATTATTTAACTTAAAAAATAGATAAATTTGATTGAATTGCTGATTGCTTGTGTTGTTTTTTAAGAATATCAAGAGCTCTTAAAGAGGACAGTTGAGCAGCTCTTTCTACCCACGGGTCCTGTCCCTGTGCTTTAATAAAACCACCTTTCTGCATTAAAAAAAAAAAAAGAGGACAGTTAAATACTAAATCAGCATTTTCCTTTTAATTATTCCTAAGCCTTGTTTTAGAAAGAAATACAAATTTTTCTTCTTGTACTTTATTTCCCCTTTCCCCTTTGACTTGGAACTGAATAAGTTGTGAGGATTAATCTTGAAAGTCTGGATAGAGCAGTTGAAAACTTAAGAATATGAATAAGAAAAAATGCTTAAAGGTGGATCAGATGACCTTAGTAAAAAAGAAAGAAGTGCAAAGAAGATGAGATCGTTTCCATGTATTAAATTAGCAAAGATTGATACTACTCAGTGTTGCTAAGTAGGGAAACAGTCTCTCTGTTTCTATCCTCCACTCTCCTCCACTGCCTGGAAGAATGTAAATTAATACAATCTTATTGAGAAGAGTTTGGGAGTTTATATCCAAAATCTTTTAAAAGATGCATACATTTTAATCAACCATTCCACTTCCAGAAAGGAAATATTGGGTCAGGCATGCAAAGGTAGATGTTGAAAGATGGTTATTACAACATTTCTATAATTAGCGAAAAATTGGGTGTAACTTAATAATTTAAAAGAATTATTTCAATAAATTTTGACATATACTTAATAGACTAGAAGACCAAATAGCCATTTAAAATGTTGATTAAGATTTCAGTATCCAAATTTGACTTGTAAGTTAAACCATGTAAGTTAAAGAAGAAAGCCCCATCATTAAAACTGGCAAGTCTAATATTATTCTTTATTTTTATGTAATATTTTAAAGTTTCAGCAAAACCCTATTCTTTACCTGGTTATTATCAGATGGGTGCTGACTTGCATCAATTTGTCAAGTTCAGGAAGCATTAGCTGTCAGACAGCTGGTGACATGTTCAATATGAGAAATGTATTTTTGTCACACAAGTGGAATATATTGTCTTCTTTTCTAAGCCAAGACTAATATTTTGTTTCCAAAGGAAAACTCAAACATTTTCCACATTATTCTTTCTGGACAGTTGTAGGTTTTGTTCCAAAAGCAACATTCATAGATTCTCTATTTTTCTTATCAAACTTGAAATAGGCCAGATAGTTTCATGAATCTACTTTGTTTATTTGTTTGTTTAATTTTTAACAAACTTATTGTTTAGTATGAAATTTTATTTAGTATTTATTAGTATTAAATTTTCATTTTGGTATAGTAAATGGTAGCAAAACTAATATTATTTTAGAGAGATCTTAATTCAGGCTTTTGTTGAATCTTGGTAGAGACATTTTCCATAAATGTACTAAATTCTAAATTAATTGCTTTTTCCACCTTTTTGTACAAAATGCAAATTCAGACATTCTTCCCGGATTGAATCATTGATTAGACAAAGACTTTGTTTTTAAGTGTTTTGTATATTTTTAACAGTTCCATAGGCCCTTTTCAAAGTGATAAAAGAACTAGAATATTTCATATTGATTATAATGTGATGTCACATAATTTTAATATGCATTTAGAAATATAAATGTTCATGTATAGTAATGGTGTAATTAACTGGATTAAATACCTTATATATTGTACTCAAATCAGAGAAAGAATATATTTTTCTTATGTGTGATGCTTCCAAATTTAATTTAAATTTCTCATAAGATTAAGGTGAACTGACACCCCAATTTCTAGTTTCTTATGTTTAAGAACATGTTATTTAAATCTTTGTTTACTCTCCTAGCTCATTCTTCACACATTTTGCATAAGATTATTTATGTTTACCATCTCATCTACTTTTTGAAATATTTTTCCTACAGTTATGCAGAAGGCATGGAGGGAAAGAAATCCTCCAGCTCGAATCAAAGCAGCCTATCAAGCTTTAGAATTAAACAATGAGTAAGTTTGAAATATATGGAAAGTAAGTTTGTTTTGAAGGAAACTCAGGCAAATGATTTCATGTTCTTATGTCTCTTCCTAAGACACTTGGAGTCATTAGCAATCCCCTTTCTTTTTTTCTATACTAGAGACAAATTTTGCAGTGTTCATAGACATCTGTACTTTGCTTCTGAAATTACAAACTTATCAGTGCTTTTGAATAGAAATTATCCTAGAGATACTTTTTTAAATGGAGAATGTTGATCTAATTGGTGATAATTCTTGATAGTTAAAGAGTACTAAAATACTTCTGCCACCTTTTTAAATTTTGTTTTTCATTTAAATCATTCATTTAAAGCATTCATTCAGTCCTGAGAACTTTAGTTGCTAATGGGATTGGAGGCATGCAAAGAGGATTCAAAATAAGGAAAATGTAGCATTTATTTTTTATAGCTCTTTGTATCGATTCTATATTTTGAAAAGGCAAATGTAAAATTATAAGTTAACCTAATATTTAAGTGAAACAGATCAATAAGTATTAATCTGATACTAAATAAATGCCAAGAGTAAAATATGGCCCCAGTTGGGGTTAATCAAGGAATGCTTCCTGAATGATGTGAATTTAGCATTGTCCCCTGTATCCCTCAACAACCCCGCCCCCCAAAATATGTTATCATTATTAAGAAGACCTTCCCAAGGTGGAGCAAAAATCACAGTGTAGGGAACTCAAAAGCAGTGAGAAACTCTGGAAACTAATCAAAACTAATCAAAAGTTTAAAGCATCCTAGAGAATGCTTAATCAATTAAAAAAACAGTCAAATTTCTGTAAGTGAGCTTTATGGTGTTTTGACTTACACTGGCTCCATCCCCCACTCCCTTGCTTAGTGGCAGCTTTGAAGACAAAAGTCAGCATTCTGGGTATAGGTTCCTACTACCAGAGGAAGTGGAATGGATCTTATTGTTAAAGAATTGCGCTTGTTTATTTTGACCTGTCTGGTTGGCTCTCTGAAGGACCAGCTCAAAGGTCTTGCCTTTATTTGGGTTAATTCAGAGCTCTCCCAGCGCAGACACAGCTACACTGGGGGGACATTTGTTGAAAACATTTAAAGGCAAATGCATTAGTCCCTGCTGCCCTGGGGCAAGTGATAACAGCTGGGGCAAACAATAGACAAACCAGAAAGCTTGAGAGGAAAGGCTGGGGAATGAGATACTTTGGAAAATAAAGGCTTTGAAAAACTCTGACATATTCCTGGGAATCTCAGATGTCCCACACATGCCCAGGTTTGGGCACATGCTTAGAAATGACTTAAGACCCTAAGCTCTGTCTAAATTTCAGGTTCTGCACAAACAGAAAGTAAAGGCTAAGGCAGAGTTGTAAACTGCCTGACTGAATGTTGAAGGTGTGCCCCAACACACACACAGAACCAATCTGCAGACTTGGGTTTTTTTGTTTTGTTTTTGGTTCCAGGTGTTTAAGGCAATCTCTATCAAATCACTGGCTGATGAATAAGCTAAAGGAGCAGAGGCTTCACTGGTCATATATGATAATGACTACAAACTTCAGATTAGTTCAGCGAAGTCATTAAACAAATAACTACAACAAACAACAACAACAAGCCATAGGGAAGAGGGGGAATCTGATTGCTAGAGTTGCTAGATTATAATCTTCAAAATGTGCAGTTTTAAAGAAATTACAAGACATTCAAAGAAACAAACTATGCCTCATACACAGAAAAGAAAGGAAATGAATGGAGACTGTCCTCAAGGAAGTCCTCAAGACTTGGACTTTCCAGACAAAAACTTTAAATCAGATACTGTAAATATGCTCAAAGAGGTAAAGGAAGCCATGTACAAAGAACAAAAGGAAGTCATGAGAAGGATATCTCACCACTAGAGAATATCAATAAAGATTTAGAAATCTTGAAAGAAATTTAGGAAAAAAGTTTAGAAAGAAATCTAGAAATAAAGATCAAGAAGCTCAGTGAACCTCAAGTAAGATATAATCAAAGAAATCTACAGTGAGACACATTGTAATCAAGCTTTCAAAAACAAAGGACAAGGGGAAATTCCTGAAAACAGCAAGAGAGAAGTGATTCATCATGAATGAGGGATCCTCAATAAGATTAACAGCTGAGTTCTCATCAGAAACCATAGAAGCCAGAAGGCAGTGGGATGACAAAGTCAAAATTCTGAAGAAAACTGTCAGCTAAGGATTCTTTTTCTTTTTTCTTTTTTTAAGATTTTATTTATTTAAGAAAGAGCACGCACAAGCATGAGCATGGGAGAGGGGCAGAAGCTGGCTCCCTGCTCAGCAGGGAGCCCAATTCGGGGCTTGATCCTGGAACCCAGGGATCATGACCTGAGCCAAAGGCAGGTGCTTAGCTGACTGAGCCACCCAGGTGCCTCCACAGCTAAAGATTCTATATCCAACAAACCTGTTCTTCAAAAATGAAGGAGAAATTTAGACATTCCCAGATAAACAGAAACTGAGAGAGTTCATTGCTAGTAGACCTATATTATAAGAAATGCTAAAAGGAGTTTTTCAAGGTGAAATAAAAGGATACTAGACAGTCTTGACTCCACACAAAGCAATAAAGAACACCAGTAAAGATAATTACATAAGCAAATATAAAAGTTAATGTATTTTGGGTTTGCAACAATTATTTTTTCAATATGATTTAGAAGACAACAATGTAAAACTAATTATAAATCTATATTGATGGACATACAGTTTATAAAAATGTAATTTGTGACAATAACAACATAAGGTATGGGGTGGGGGAAGAGCTATATAGAAGCAAAGTTTTGTATGCTATTGAAACTAAGTTGGTATTAACTGAAACTACATTGCTGTAAATTAAGATGTTAAAAGTAATTGTTAATTATTAACCACTAAGAAATAACTAAAAAAAATATAGTAAAAGAAGCTAGAAGGGAATCAAAATGGTATACTAGAAAATACCTAACACAATTACTGCCAGAAATAAGGACAAAAAAGGATATATAGAAAACAAATAGGAAAATAGCAGAAACAAGTCCTTCCTTATCATTAATTACTTAAATGTAAATGGATTAAACTCTGCAGTTAAAGGCATTGATTGGCAGAATGGATTTAAAAAACAGTTCAGCTATATGCTGTCTATAAGAGATTCATTTTAGATACAAAGATACAAAGAAGTAGAAGGTAAAAGTATGGAAAAAGATATTCCATGCAAATAGTAACCAAAAGAGAGATGCAGTGGCTATCCTATATCAGACAAAATAGACTTCAAGACAAAAATTTTTTTAATTATTTGAGAGAGAGAGAGCAAGCAAGGGGAGGAAAAGAGGGAGAGGGACAAGCAGACTCTGTGCTGAGCATGGAGCCCAACACAGGACTCGATCCGAAACCCTGAGATCATGACCTGAGCTGAAATCAAGAGCCAGATGCTCAACCAGCTGAGCCACCCAGACGCTCCAACAAAATTTTTATAAGATAATTACATTATATAATGATAAAAGAGGTTTAATTCATCAAGAAGATACAACAATTATAAACTTATATGCATTTAATAACAGAGACCCAAAATATATGAAGCAAAAAGAATTGAAGGGAGGAATAGACAGTTGTTGGAAGCTTCAACACCATTTCATTAATGGATAGAATAATTAGACAAAAGATACACAATGAAATGAAAGACTTGAACAACACTATAAACTAACTAGACCTAACAGACATCCATATAGCGCTCTATTCAACAATAGTAGAGTACATGTTCTTCTCAAGTGTACATGGAACATTCTCTAGGATATATTATATGTTATGATATAAAGAATTCTCAATAAATTCCAAAAGATTGAAATTATACAAAGTACTTCAACCACAGTGGAATAAAATTAGAAATCAAAAACACAAGGAGATCTGGAAATTTCACAATATTGGGATATGTGGAAGTTAGGCAAGAGTCTTAAACAACCAGTGAGTCAAAGAAGAAATCACAAAGAAAAGATAGAAAATACTTTGGGATGGATGAGTGAAAATGAAAGCACAACATACCAAAACTTAAGAGATACAGAGAAAGTGGAAACTGTAAACACAATACTAAAGAAAAACAGATCTCAAATCAATAACTTAAACTTTATACCGTAAGAAACTAGAAAATGAAGAGCCAACTAAACTACAAGCAGAAGGAAGGCAGTAACAAAGAATAGAGTGAGATAAAATAGAGAATAGAAAAGCAATAGAATCAATGAAACCAAAGGTTGGTTTTTTTTTTTTTTAGATTTTTTTATTATTTATTTATTTGAGAGAGAAACAGCATGAGAGGGGATAGGGTCAGAGGGAGAAGCAGGTTCTCCGCCGAGCCGGGAGCCCGATGCGGGACTCGATCCCAGGACTCCGGGACCATGACCTGAGCCGAAGGCAGTCGCTTAACCAACTGAGCCACCCAGGCGCCCCAAAGGTTGGTTTTTTAAAAGATCAACAAAACTGGGGCACCTGGGTGACTCAGTCAGTTAGGCGTCTGCCTTTGGCTCAGGTTATGCTCCCAGGGTCCTGGGACCAAGACCTGTGTCACACTCCCGACTCAGTGGAAAACCTGCTTCTCCCTCTCCCTCCGCTGCTCCTCCTTCTTGTGTGCTCTTTCTCTCCCTCTGTCAAATAAATAAATCTTAAAAAAATAAAGATCAACAAAATTGACAAACTTTTAGCTAGACTGACCAATTAAAAAAGAAGACTCAGATTACTGAAATAAAGAATGAAACTGGGAACATTACTACTTACCTTACAGAAATTAAAAGCTGAATACAGTGAACAATTACATGTTTATAAATTAGATAAATGGACAAATTTCTAACAACACACTACCAAAATTGATTCAAGAAATAGAAAATCTGAGTAGACCTATAACAAGTGAAGATGATGGAATCAGTAATTTAAAAACTTCCAAACAAAGAAAACCCAGGACTAGATAGATCCCTTCACTGGCAAGTGCTACCGAGAACTAGAAGAAGAATAAACACCAGTCCTTCTTAAACTCTTC